TGGACAAATTTTTATTTTATTCATTTAATAATATTTATCCATAAAATATTTTATTCATTTAATAATATTTTACTTTTATTACTGGTTTGTGTAAATAAAACCATGTATATTCACTAAACCCATTGTTTTCCCTTTTTACCAGAAATCCACGTAATTCAAAAATAAGTCAGGGTTGTTGTTCTACCAAATCTGAACTAAAACAAAGTATCTCCATTCTTCAAGTATACATTTATTTATGGTTCAGTACACCAGATTACAATCAAACAAGTCACATGTTTGGAATGTATTTCTTTGTTGATATGACATTTCATGATGTATTTGTAGTTTTTTAAAGCTCAAGAGCGCATCGATAAAGGGATGTATGAAGAATTGATTCGAATCTTTGTCGCATCGTTACAAAAAAGGGGTGTCAAAGACAGAAGAGTCGCCACCGTTCGTTATTTATCCCAAAGAGAGGGAAAGGAAACGATCGAAGAAAACCTACGAAAAAAGGGAAAAGACAAGGTCATTGCAACCAAATCTTGGGTTCGAGAGTCGGTTACGCAAGGGGAAGGTATGAGCACCCCTCACGTCCGTTGTACTCAACGGGATCCACACTTGTTGTTTAAATCTATGGGTGAAAATATCTAAGAAGCTGCTGCTAAACGGGGGTGAAAGAAAAGAACTGACTCGATAGGACATCGCCGCCCTATGCCTACGTATTCCCTCGTGCAATGGGAAAGTCAGAGTCAACGTAGTTCAGAAAACTACGGGTGATGGAGGAAAGGTTGCTCGCCAAGACATCGCCGTCTTGTGCCTACGTATCCTCATCTGGTATGAGAAATCAGAGCAAACATAGTTCGGGAAACTATGGGACAAGATCTCGATCGTACGAGTGCGAGAGAAAAGGTTTTGGATAACAGGTTGGTCTCGATTGCACGGGGGCAAGAGAAGGGGAGGTTAATTGTTAGTGTGAAGGTCTCGATCGCACGGGTGTGAGAGAAAAGGGGTCTCGATCGCACGGATGCGAGAGAAGGGGAAGTTAGTGGTTAGTGTGCTCGTCAAGGATAGGGATCCTCGTGCCTACGTATCTTCATTAGAGAATAAAGAATCAGAGCAGACGTAGTTTGGCCAACTACGAAAAAACGTGTCTCGATCACACGAAGATCGCACGGATGCGAGAGAAAAGGGATCTCGACCGCACAGGTGCGAGAGAAAAGAAGTCTCAATCGCACGGGGGCGAGAGAAAAGGGTCCTAGGCCTGGAACTCCTAAACGGAAGGGAACCGGATCGGGTCGGGACGTGCACTACGCTAAATCCTAAGACGTAGGAGCGAATGCGTCGCATATTGTCCAAAGGGTATACGGTAAACACTCTAGACAATATGAGAAAAGGCTCCCCATTTATCATTTCCTACGTATCTAACGCTTGGCTCACAATACTCGTCACGGTTACGGGTTGAAAAGACGGTCCAAAAGGTGTTAAGGAATTGAATCGGGACCAATGTGACGCTAAACCGTCGTAGCTCGACTTATGAGGGAAGTCAAACTATAGGAGGTCGCGTGATTGATATCCGTGCTATGGACAAGATAGAGAAATGATATTGAGGATCATTCTCTAATTTAATTGTGTCGCATAGACCAAAATAGTGGGATCTCGTCTTAATCGCAAACATTATGTCGATTAATCGAAGGTAGCCTATCGCGATCCCAAAGTAGAGAAAATGACCCAAATGGTCATTTTCCATAGATGTGAAATCGGGAAGGTTATCGACTTCGATAATCTGACGTTCACGAATACAAGACTTCATCGATCGAGGAAAGTCAAAATAAAATCGAAAAGAAGAAGAAATGAGGAGAGAAAGGAGGTGGTCTCGGATCCAGCATTATTCATCAATAGTTTGACTAGTAGCGGTTTACGGAAGTCTCGTCATCGACCCAAAAAACGGTGAAAATAACCAAAGATGAATAAACGGTCGAAAATAGAAAGGAGAAAGAAAGTGGTCTCGGATCTATCGCTTTTCATCAATAATTTGACAGAAAAACAATAGAGGTCTCGTCATCGACCCAAAAAGAGGAAATGCGAAAGTAAATCCTCAAGAATAAAAATCTAAATTTAACTTTCTAAAAGATGTAATTAAAAAGAAAATATTATAAAATTTCTAAAAAAGTTAGATTAGGAAAAATATATATACAAATCTTAACAAAAACTAATATATATATATATATATATATATATATATATATATATATATATATATATATATATATATATATATATATATATATATATATATATATATATATATATATATATATATATATATATATATATATATATATATATATATATATATATATATATATATATATATATATATAATATAAAAAACTGTTAGAAAAAAGTTTACAAATTTTAAAAACTAAATATATTATCTAGAAAAATATATACATACTAATAATATATTACAATTTTTTTAAAAAAAAGAAACAGGGGGGGGGGGGGGTTTGAAAGAAAACACGGGGTGGTGGAGTAACAGTAACCAAATGGGCTTTGAGCCCAAACCAACAATAACCAGAGCAAATAAAATTAACAAAAATGACATAATCCTCCTTTTCTTCCAATTCTCAACGATTCACCATCACCTCTCTCTTCCCTGTTTATCGTCAATCTCAACCTCTCTCTGTTTTCTCTTTCACTTTCGATTCTTCTTTTCCTGTTTCAGAATTTCTGGGTATGTAAGGTTGAGAGATTTACGGTGAGTTTCAGAATACATTCAGGTGGGTTCACGCGGTGGACATTATTGAAATGGAGGTAGGCTGTTGTCGTTTGGGTTTGGAAGTTTCAAAAAATGGGATGTTGGGTATGATTTGTGGTTGGAGAGTGAGATGAAGGTGAGATTTGAGTGTGTGTTGAAACGATTTGAGGTTGAACAATGGGGTTTCGAATGGGGAAAGTTTCTGGGTTTGAGATGGTTGAGTAAGTTGATGATGAATAGTTGATTGGCTGAGATTTTGAAGGAGGTGATGATGAAAGGAGTTTTGCGGTTTTCAAATCGGAGGAAGTCGAGGGATTTGGTGAGTGTTTTTGAAGGCGAGGTTCGAGGAGAAAGGAGATTAATGGAAGTTTGATGAAATGGGTTTGATGGTAGTTGTGAAGCAGATAGAAAATGGGTTTTGTTCGCGTGGTGGTTTGAGGGGTTCTGAAATGGGTTTTCAGGTGGTGAAGGTTGTAGAGTTTAAAGGGAATGTAGTTGAAGAGATGAAAAACAACTATGGTGATGGTGAAGAAAGGGTGTTGGTCGGAGATGTTGAAGAAGTTTGAGGAAAACTGTATGGGTTTGCAAGTGAAACGGGTTTTGGATGAAGAACATGGTTTCGTTGAGAAGGGAATGGGTTGAGAATGATGGATGGTTTTTGCGACTGAGATTAGGGGTGGTGCGGTGAGAGGAAGGTGGTAATGAATAGTAGAATGAAGGTGAACAGGAATAGTGCATTGGGGCTGCGACTAGGGTTTTCTATCCCAAGGTTGGGGACAATGAATAATGTATATATACCAGAATAGAGACACGTGGCCCTGCAAGCTGTAATTTGTTGATGATTAATTAACTGATAACAACTAAATTCCATTGATTAAATTGCACTAACTTTAATAACAATTAATCTTAATCCTAATTAACGCTAACTAAACTTAATCTAAACTAATAATGCTCTAATAATCTAACTAATCAAAATTAAATCTATATTAAATCTAATGACAATCCTAATTAGTTCTATTCTTAATAATTCTAATAAAACTATTCTAAAAATTCTAAATGAACTTCTATAAAATTCTAAACTCTATTTAATTCCAAATTAACACCTATTTTGAAATAAAACTCCATTCTAAACTATTTCTATAAAAAAAACGACTAAAGTTCTATTTAAAAAAAACTATCTTCTAAAAACAAATATTAAAATTTTATTTTCTATTAAAAAAATTCTAAACTAGTTTCTAACATATTCTAAAAAAAACTATTTCTAAACAAAAATCTAATTCCTAATTCTAATAAAATTCTATAAAAAGAAAATAAAGCAAAAATAGGAATAAAAATCACAAAAATGCAGTGAAATAAAAACGGAAAAAGGGCGAACACTGAAACGCAACAGGATTATCAGCACGGACTGAATCACCGGGAAAAGAGCAACTTTCGCTCGATTTCGACATGGAACATTTCAATTGAACATGTTTAAATTGTCTAAAATGCGAGCAAAACGGCTAAAATCCCGATAAATTCAATCCGACTGATAACATGGGTAAGATGCGACCTAAATGATATGCAGATGAATGCGAAGCGAAAAGGCAGTCAAAGTTAGAAAAATGGTGGACAAATTTTAGGGTGCAACATTCTTTACAACGTAGAAAAATAATATATTACACTAATTACTATTACTTTCACTATATTTTTCTCTAAAGCAATTCTAATGTGAGAGTCTTACATTTTTTCCTTACTACATAAAACAATTGCAAATTCTCAAGATAAAGATTTTATGTTCGACCTTCCTCTTAAAAAACGTTAGTTATCTATACAACATATAAAGAGAATATTTTGTTTTGGTGTAACATATTTTTCTACCATTTTTACTTTTATTTTATTATATAATTTACTTAATAACTTCCACATAACTTATTATATTTAATTTTCACATAACTTTTTATTATTGACTTTCACATATTATATTTAAAAAAAATATTATTTTAACAAAAAATATTATTTATATTTCATGCATATTAAAAAAAAGATAATATTATTATTATAATAATAATAATAATAATATAATAATAATAATAATAATAATAATAATAATAATATTATTATAACACGTTTAAATTTTTAGTTAAGTGACAGACGGTATAGACAAGTGGGGCGATTGACTTCACATCCTTACCTGAACACTGCTTCCAAACTCAATTAAGTGTAGTTATTAACTGATTCATCTTTTCTTTCACCACCACTAACAATTTTCTTCATTTCAATAACCATGGCTACAACTCTTTCACTTTCCTTTTCCTTAGACCCTCAAAACCGCTTCAACACCATCGCCACCACCAAAACGACTCGTCGTTTCACATTCTCATCTCTCCCTCATCGAAAAACCCTAAACCCAAATCCCCACTTCAAACTCTCCTCTTCTTCCCATTCACAATCCCAAACCCAAACCCTAAACGAACCCATTATTCAACCAGGTAAATTCCTCACGAACGACGAACTCGAAAAACTCCAATTCCTCTCCTCCTTCCTCTACTCTCAACAACTCGAATCCGGTATGGTTTGGGTTCGAGTCATGAGAGACAGCGAGGTGGATGCCATTGTGTGTTTACTCGCGGATTCGTTTTCGGAATCGATGATGTTTCCGGAAGGGTATATCAATGTGTTGAGGTTTCTTGTGAAACGGTATTTAGTTGAGCGGAGGAGTTCGATGCCGCATATGGCGACGCTGGTTGGGTTTTATAGAGGGGTTGTTGATGGGGAAGATGAGGAAATGCAGTTGGCGGGGACGGTTGAGATTTCTTTCGATAAAAATGGTGCTAATGCTTCCATTCCTTCGCCTACTCCTCCTAGGGATTCTCCTTACATTTGTAACATGGCTGTGGAAAAATCTCTCAGAAGGTAAAAAAATTACACTCTAGGGTCAATTTGTTTTTTTGATTATGCCAGAGTAAATTTTACCAGTAGAAATAGAATGCATAGTTAATTTGAAGAGTGAATAGGCAAATTGGTGCTTGAAATTGCTAGCATTGATAAAACTAGATATTTTAACTTAAACTGACACCGACGTTGTAATTTATTCTTTTCTTTTTTTCAAATTGTTATCGGTGCCGGTGTGTTAGTGCGGTGTCGTGTTTTGGAGTCCGTGTTTTGGAGTCTGTGCTTCGTAGGTAGTGAGTTAGATGGAATAGTTCATTCTTTAACTTCTATTATAGAGCTTATGTCATTGCATGCCAAATGAACTTATAACCTTCCAACTGTATGGCACGCTAAATGAACATGTAACCTTCCACATGGATCACACAATAGTATTATAGCATACTAAATTTTTGAAACGAGTTAAATTCATGTTTTTATGTCAACTTCAGTGCTATCACCTCAAGATTCAAACACACTAAATGATTTTTCTATCATATATTTCATATGCAATTTAATCTCTGATAGTGTGGAATCTAGGTGGAAGGCCAGATATTCATTTGCAACGTCAGTCATCTAGAATAGAAGTTAAGAGAGGGACCATTTTGAATGAGTCGTTACAATTTCAGCAATGTATTTGCCAATTCGCAAACTTTTTGGACTAGGTTGACTGATACTCATAATTTCGAGGATCAATTTGCATATTCACTCTAATTTGAATGATGAAACACAGATTAAGAAGAAAATGATAAAAATAATAAAAGTGGTATATGAGTTTCCTTAACTTTGCATTTCCTTGGTAAAATTAGCTCTAGGGCCAAGAACCATGACACTAATTTGACCAACAGAATACATATTCTGGGACTAATTTGATTGGCTCAATGTATATTCAGGGTATGAATGTTTAGTTTCTATTTTTCAAAGATTAAGGCCTCGTTGGTTTGGTTTGGGTGATGAATAACTTTCTAAGAGTGTGTTTCTGGTTATTAATTTCCTTCAGGAGGGGCATTGGATGGCACCTTCTAAAGGCAAGTGAGGAATTGATTTCTCAGATGAGTTCATTGGGAGAAGTTTACTTGCATTGCCGAATGATTGATGAAGCTCCATTTAACATGTATACAAAAGCTGATTACAAAATTGTAACGACAGATAGTATATTAGTTCTGCTGATGTTGCAGAGACGCAAGCACTTGATGTGCAAGAAACTTCCTCTCATAAGTATGCAATCAGAAACAGACGTGTCATGGTCTGATGAATAACAGATTACGTGTATGTGTTCAAGACTGCTTAATATTTTGTTGTAATTTTTCCATCATCCCTGATTGTTGATAAAAGACCACATTTATGTCAAGCTTGCACATAATCTTATACTCAAAATGTTTCCCATGATCAAGTTTATATTATATTTGTGGGTTTTTTTTTTCTTCTTTTCTTTTTGTTTTGATTTTGTTTCAGTAATGTTAGCAAAGATGGTTGCAGTGGTTATGATTTGACTGGAGGATGAAGATTGGTTTCAAGCATCGTTATATACTCACTTACCTGTAGAGAAGAGACCTGTTGTTTTGCAGGTAAATTACTTAAGAATGTTTTTTAACTTCTTTATTTACTTCCTGGCTTTGACAGATAACTGATGAAAAGATTGTATAGCTGGTCCTTTGTCACAAATTACCAGGTTAGGTACATCGTTCTCTCTTGAAGAACCTACTAACATTAGAGATGCATGGGAAATATACATAAAATTGGCTCTGGATTTCTTCAATTCAATCAAAACAGGGGTTTGTTTATGCATGAAGGATTTATATATTGGTCCTTAAGTTTGAACTTGGCATATTTGATTGTTTGAACTGAACCATTCATGGTCAAAACATGTAGGACAAGGGTGGTTGACTCTTGTCACTGTCTCTTAGGCACTCCTTTCAATTAGTTGGAGGTGCGGGTAGAAGTAGGACAGGTGATAATGTGGTTGGAGATAAAAAAAGAAAAGGCTCGTTTAAGATTTGCCCACAGTGGACTTAGTTCTTCATCTTGTAAGATCATTAAGTTAGTTATCTTTGTACATAATTGTGCAAAATACTATTATTAATTGGTCTGGTGTATATATATGGAAAAGTACCAAACATAGTTCACTCTGTTTATTTTCAACAAGAAATCACCATAATTCTGGCGTCTAAACTTATGGTGTCATTAGATCAGTCTCAAACTATGCATAACCATTCCCAAGCCTTTTGAATTTGTATAGATAATCATTTGGATCTCTTTTACACAATCTGCCATTGAAGGCCGCTCATTACTTTCAGTTCGTACACATCTTGATGCCAGATTGGCAAACATGACTATAGACTGAATGGTGTAAGAATTTCGAGCCATATCTGGATCTATCACCTTACGCAGCTTCTTGCGATCATTCAGTATGTGCCTCACCTGCATATAAATATAAAATATATTAAAGTCTTGCTGCTGCACGACTTAATTTCTGGAACTTCGGAATTTAAGATATGTGCTTCTATTCTCAAGAATAAGAATGGCCTATGCAAGATACACCAGAAAAATACCAATTATCAATAATGTCAAATTATTTTTGTATAAATTTATGAAATGAAGAAAAATCACAATTGCAAATTTCAAGGTCATATATGGTCTTTATTGCTTTGGAGTCCCTATGGAAGCCTTGTGTGAATGAGTTTGTGTTCACTTCTTACCTGTAGTACAAGGTTTTGATCATTAGGACCTTGGTTTAGATCTACAGCCCGTCGTCCAGTCAAAAGCTCCAGAAGAACAACACCAAAAGCATAAACATCACTTTGGAGAGTGAGCTTCCCTGTCTGTTGTCAAATGAAGTGAATTAGTGTGAGAATGCAAATGTAGCAGTAAACAGATTCTAGATATAAGAAAATAAAAAGTTAAAGATTACCTCATAGAGTTTAGACATATTAACATTTGATTTGGGTTATAGATAAACAAGGTGTATTTATCCTTTTTTGATTGAGTTATGCTCCTTTCAGGTCATACCCCAGTATAATAAAAGGAAACTGAAAGACTTAATTGGAATTGGATAAAATTTCAGTTTCAGACTTTTAATGCAGACCAGATTTTGAAAGTTAAGCCAACTTTTACTGGATGAGTTGATGTTGGATTGCTAACTTAATTAGAGTTATTAATTTATTTTATGGTGGCTTAGTAGACATTCACAACAGGTTACTAGTTGGTGTTGCATAGCTGTTGCTCAATAAATGATTTAGCTCACCAAATACAGTATGCATGACATTAAAATATAAGTTAGGTATATTGTGCATGTAATGTTATCCTCTTTTGCAGCAGTAGTGGATCTATGGTGTTTGAAAATATGAAGCTGATTAAACCATATGCTTGTGATCATTATTGCATAAGAATTTTATATATACTGGATATTGCAAATCTATTTTCTTATCTTTATGACTGAATAACATGAAAAATGTAGAAGAAACTGTCTAAACATTGAATCTTGAAAGTTGAAGCAATTGCATTTTTTTTTTGGGGAGGGTGGGTGGATATAGACATAGATGCGTACCGATGTATACTCGGGATCAAAGTAACCAAAGGTACCAAGCACTCTGGCAGTCACATGTGTCTCCTGTCCTTCTGGCATTAACTTGGCTAGCCCAAAATCAGATATCTACAAAAACACTTAATTATAGTTCTTAAATATTATTGTTAGAAATATTGTAATAAGTGATTACTGCGATTTATTTATACCTTAGCTTCATAGTTGGCATCTAAGAGAATGTTGGTCGATTTGAAATCTCTGTGAACAATAGGAATTCCAACATCAGAACTTGAATGGAGATAAGCAAGCCCTTTTGCAGCTCCCAGTGCCACCTGTAGTCTTTGAGGCCAATCAATGTTTCTTTCTCCAATTCCTAAAATTTTAGAGTAATAGAAGCTTGATGTAAGAAATTTTGGTAGTTGTCTAGAGTTCTTGGGTAAAAATAACAAAGTAACAAACCATTCAAATGATCTTGCAGGTTCCCATTAAGCATATATTCATATACTAAGAATCTGTGTTTTCCATCAGCACAATATCCTATCAAGGAAACAAGATTTGGATGGCTCAGTCTGCTCAAAATGTCAACTTCAACTCGGAATTCACGTTCCCCCTCTGCTTCTTTTATTGCTGGAAGCTCCATTTTCTTGATTGCTACAACCTTCAAAGGGAGACATATTGTATCAGTATGTGTATTTATTTTTATCATGATAACACATTTTGAACCATTTTTGTAAATCTTGAAAATCTTCTGTATGGAAGCTACATCTGGTGTTAGCAAAACCACGAAAGTCATGATGAATTCTATGGGGCTATATATGAACTTCTATGCTGAGCACATTACCTCTCCTGACCGCAAAGTGCCGCGGTAGACTTTGCCAAATCCTCCTTTTCCAAGCAGATTTTCTTCACTGAATGAACATGTTGCCTCTTCCATTTCCTTGAGTGTGTAAACAGATGATCCATGCAACCTCTTCGTAGGACACGGTGTTTTATCATCAAGCTGCCAAAGTTGTGCAGGTTTGTAAACCCCTGGATAATGTTTGTAAATGTTATATATTCTATGCAACTATATAACACTAAAAACATGCTTTGAATTTAAAACATGAAAAAGAAAAAAAAAAAAAAGAAAAGTAGAGAAAATACAGGGATCTGTGTGATCTTGAGACTTGCTTCTTCGGCGCTTATTCCAGGCTGAGACCAAACCGAACGGCATGATTAGCGTCTCTATCTAATTTGTTCTATGTTTAAGGATTGAAATGTTAGGTTTTAACATCTAACATAGGAAACATGCAATTGGATAGATATGTTTAATTTCACTACACACTCAGTAACTATCCTACATGTAGATGTTGTCTATCGAACTTCCAAGTAAACACTTTTTTGGTACTATGGGTGTGAAGTAAATAATTTCAGAGTAATTTTCATGTACTTGATAGAGCTGTTATTCACATATAAAAGTAATTTTGATAGCATGAGAAAATCCTCTATAAGGAATACGTATGGAGCAAGTGAGGTTAGATTAGAAGAATACTTAACAAAACATCTTCCAACAACACATGGAGAGAGACAGAAATATTGTACTTTAAGCTTAAGAGAAAAATTAGAAAAGTAGGTATTGCTTACATTACTATGGTTGGGGGGCTGTATGTAGTTTGACAAGGAAATGGGAACTGCAGCATCATTCTCCATGTTAATCATCTTTTATACGTTTTACCGTTTACAGATTGAAAATTAATGGTGGTTGAGATGGCATTTTCATTTGTTCTCTTCATTATAAATTTGTTGTGTTACCTTATTTCTAAATCTTTCTCTTGTATGGTGCAACCGTCATTGTTTATATTAATGTCTCTCATCATCACCTTTTGACGATTATTTTTTCTAGCACTAGTAGAAGTAGTAAGAAAAAAATGAGTTTATATATATTTTTTATCGTCCATTAATTATATATAAACCACTGCCATTTCCGTTACTCTAAAGTATTGAAGGATTTTTCTACTTAAAATTACCTTAAAAAAAGATATTAGAGATTTTTTGTTACAAAAAATATAGATTGGGTGTACTTAGAGTTTCCCTAGTACAGTTATGTGTTATTTTGATACCGCAACAATTCTTCAGTAAATTTAGTTGCTTAATAGACTACCATTAAATCCTATTTAGTATTTGTTTGGTCGATAAAAGAGTTTTCTAAAAACATAGTATATCATCTGATTCAAAGTTAATGTTTTTTTTTTTAATTAAACACAAAGGGTACAAAGGTAATATTTAAAAACACTATTTGTTAGAGCAACTTGAGGGTTAGGGTTAGTGATTCCTTTTTTTCCCCTCTAATCAACTTAAAAAATAGCGATTTCGAATTTACTAACATTTGAATCAACCTGACTTTTGTACTAAGTGTTTGTGAGACAAATGCTACATTTTCACTGTTTGGATCATTGAAACAAGGTCCAAGGAAGGAAATATTGTGTTCGTACAACACCATATATTTTAGATGCTATGCTAGGGTTTGAAAGAAAACCTAGTCGACATGGGCTTCTCTGGTGTCGACCATCAACATGGAGATCTTTCATGCTTGACTCTTCTTCCTCAAGTGACTTATATGTTTCCATCTCAAATCCAAGCATAAAGAAATCATTTGCATAAACTCTTCAAAATGTATGTGGCATATCTATTTATAGTTTTGCCAAGCCTTGCCTAAAAGGTAAACGTCTCTTGATTAAGATAAAGAGGCTTACAAAACAAGACTCGAGCAATGCATGAATAATTTACATGGGAAATTGATCAATAGTAAAGGTAACATGTCATTGAAAACGTTAGACTTATGTGACAAATTCATGAAATTGTGGAGTCCAAATCACTAGTTGGGATTTAACTCATTACGGACATGGTTATTTTGAACTTTCATTCAAATCAAGGGAGGATCTCAACAAAATTTAGAGTGTACGTGTTAGTTTGGAAGTTCTAGCTGAAGAAAGTAAAAAAAGAATGGTAATAATTATGTTGAAAAATACTGAGTATAAGACTCAATCAAAGGCTTCGACATACAAATATGTCGACTAAGATGGTTCGACTAACCTATTAGATGAGTCGAGACAAAGACTAGTTTGGAGTCTCAGAGACATATCCATAAAATTAAGATCACTCTCTTCAAAACATGTTCAAAATCTCAAAAAGGGTTATACAGATCCAGTCTTCGACAAAGGTGGAGATCGGCACATCCACCAGATGTTAGGGACTTGGGATATTCTTAAGTCGAAAGATTATGTGATGTGGATATACCTCAACAACACTATAGGAGTCAACCAAAGACTCTCGACATAGGTAGTTAAGAGGTTTAAAGTAGTTATCAACATGATGGTTGGTTTTTAGCAGTTTTATCTTTGAAGATGCGTGGAAGCAAGTTAGAGTGATGGAGCTTATGTAGTGGGATACGTGTCAAATCCTTAGGATCTATATGTTGTCGATAGTTACTATTGTATTAGTATATAAGTCAATATTGGTGTATGTGATTGAGGTCGCAAAGTTTTACTGATTCTCTATAGAACTGAAGTATCCAAGTCAGAGAGAAATAATTTGTGAGAAATATATGAGTTTGTGTCCATCTTTTAAATTTCTTAGAGCATTTATTTTATGACATTTATTATGTTTTTTCTTTACTTTTTTTCTTCAAATCAATTATGTATTTACATTCAGTTTGTTAATTTTCAAGAATAGATTTTTTCAAGTTTAATCTCTTAAGTGAACCAAACTCGTTATTATTCACTAAAAACACCAGTAAACAAATTGGCACGCTCGATGAGACCCTTTTGTGCAAGAAATTTTAAGTTTTTTCGTAGAAAAGAGTTGTGTCTTTTTACATTGTTCATTTTGTTATTCTTTCATGAAATGTCTTCATTTGTTAAGTGTTTATGTGTCAGAGGAGTGGTAAGAATCTTCTTGAAATGACTCTTCCAACTTTAAAATACCCACTTCCTCTTAGAGTAATTCTCATAATGTAGAAGAACTATCAATAGACTCGATGTTTGGCAATGCAGGAACTTCAACAACCATTGGAGAAAACCCTACTGTTATAAGCCAGATAATAACGTCGGCAGTACCACAAAAAGTGGTGGTTTCCTTACTGCAAGTGACGGGCGTGCCCACTACTCCCAGGGCTACACAAAGTCTGATAGGTAAGTCATCCTTTTCCCTTAAACTTTACGTTACCACCAAGTGATAGGGAATCCCCTTATGGCATGCCAACAACTATGATGGAAAACCTATAAACTAGTGCATCTATATATGCTGATAATGCAACGGCTGTTGCATCCCCCATTAATCCATATTTAACATCAGGATCTTTATCAGTAACCCTGGTCGATTGGCACAACCACAAGGAGGATAAAAATATATTCCTCCAGGTATGCCACCCATAACCAATAGTTCTCTCCAGTTTGTGAGACAACAAATGGACGAGAGTAATCACAAAATGGTTAACATGCTTACACATCAAATAGGCACTGTGCTCAATCCTCTAATTCATAACACTAACCATAACTACCAGTTACTAGCATACCAAATGGGTCAAAATGTTGACTTTTATGGTGCTCCTCAAGCGCCTATTCATCTGGTGCCTAATAACCATATAGCACAATAGGTGATACCTATCGAACAATCCATACCAAGGGTAGTCGAAGGCAACCCATGCCAAAATGACTCTGAGGTAGTATTGGTGCATAGAAACCAAGATGCTAACCATTTAGCTAGAAATGTCCAACAAAACAATTTTGGGTGGAAAAGCAATATAACTAACGTGGTCAAAAAGATACTGGCCCATAACGACCTTAATGTTGGCCTCCATTGGCCAAATTTTGTTTCAACGCTGTCTAATACGTGTTGCAGAATGAATTTCCTTGGGGTTGGAAAATCCCAAAGTTTACTATGTTTGTAGGAGACACTAATGAATCCACAATCGAACACGTTGCTCGATATTTGTCATGGGCATGAGACTTAACCAATAATGAAAACTTGAAAATGAAATATTTCCCCAATTATTTGACCAACAACGAATTCACATGGTTTACGACCCTCCCCCCCGCACTTTATTCATAATTAGAGTCAATTAGAAAGAACATTCCATGAGCATTTTTACATGGGCCAATCGAACACCAGCCTTAAAGAATTAGCTAGTGTAAGACAAAAGATGGTTGATTCAATAGATGATTATCTCAATAGGTTTAGGATAATGAAGTCTAGGTGCTTCACTTAAGTGCTAGAACATGAGTTAGTCAAACTAGCCATAGAGGGTCTGGACTATTCCATTAGGAAGACGTTGGATACCCAATACTTGAGGCTAAAGGTGAAAAAAACACAAGAAGGGGGGGGGGGGGGGTTGAATTGGGTTTTAGAAACAAATTTTTTTACCAACTAAAAAACTTAACAATCACAAGATTGAACAATGAGAAAGACACAAGGATTTTTATCCTGGTTCGCTTGAAACTCAAAGCTAATGCAATCCACCCGCCAAGATGATTTCGCCTTTATACACAATGACTTAATCCACTATAATCAACTCATTACAAATGCACTAGCTACAGTTGGTGACTAACAAACCACAAAGACAAACAATCAATGTCTTCTCAAGGATACTGACCTAACTGGTCCCTCAAGGAATTGCAAATAAACAGTTGAATACAAAGATGTGTGTTTACAAAGCGCTTCTTAAACAAGCAGATTTACACAAGTGAAATACAAAAAATACTTAAAGAAAAGTTTGCACAAAGTTGGAAGTTTTTCAAGTAGAAGCACTCTTGTTATTTTGCCATCTTTCTTCAAGTCCCATATATATAACCTGAAAAAGGAACCGTTGGAGGGAAAATAAAAAATAGGAAAATGTAGCTGTCCACTAACGGAATTGTGACATGTGTGACAAATAGTACCGTCCTTTCGCCCACAAAATCAGGTAGTGGAGGAACAATTTTATTTTGTACTGTGTACTATTTTGATCACGTATCCTTTATCCTTATCTTCAAATTTTTTTGGCTTCTGATGAAAAGTTGGTGAAGTATAAACAGAAGAGTCACATAGCTTGAAATCAAAATCTTCAAAATTAACAATCAGAATCTTGATAACATCAGCATCTGACTTGAGATCTTTAGAATCTTCAAGCAAAAACTTCAGAAGTTTGCCTTTCTTCAGAAGTTTGATGATCAGAGTCACATCCAGAAGTAGAAACCG